CGCCAAGGGCCCTTCCTCCCCGCGAAGACAAGACACGGGCTGGCCCGTGGCCGCCCGTTCTCTGGGCGCAGAGGACGGGCGCCCGTCCCTCCCGCTCACCCCACCGTCTCTCCCTCGTCTCCGCCTTCCCTCCACCCTTCCCTGGCCCCTCTCACCGCCCCCTCAGCCCTGACCCACCGTGACGACTGGGTCCACGACGGGGCTCGGCGCTGCAGCGCACGCAGATGGAGGCAGAGGGCCCACCACGTCTTGGCCTCCAAGGCAAAAATAACGACGAGGCCCCCGGTGAGGCTCCACGCTGCCTAACGGGTCACCTGTTCCCACGAGGCACCTGCATTCTGCCAAGGCCCAGGGCCACCCAGGTTTAATGACATCATCACCATGCGGTAATACACAGGGGACCCTGCATGGCAACGGGGCTGTCTGCACCCGTCCACATGGGTGGCCCCGGCTCAGGCCTTGGCGCTGAGCTCCCGTCCGAGACCAGCGTCCAGGCGCCGGCGTCTCTGCTCGACCGCGGCGACCTGGGGAATTTCAAATGCGTTGGTATCCGCTGCCCGGGAGCCTGGGGAAAACGTGGCGTGTGCAGAACCGCAGGCTCTGCGACACCTCCATCTCTCAGAAGTGCATCTAAATGTGAAAAAAAACTTGCACTCACATCAGTTGAAATATTTAAAGCAGCTGGTGCGCTGGCCGGCACCTAGGAAGTGCTTAGAATGGTTACTTTCTTCATTAATTGCTGTTGGCCTGACATACAGCTGGATTTCATGTTATTTTGGGAAATTAGGGAGAACTGTGGTAGCTTTTTGAGGAATAATACTAGGGAGAAGTGTGGTAGAGTGCTACGAATTCAATTCCTACTCTTTCGATAGCAGGAGAAAACTTTCCCCGGCTCTCGGTTACTGCTCTGAGCTCGTATGCCGCCATCAGGGGCCGCCTGCCAGGGCAAGTCTGAGCTGTGTGCCCACCAGGCGCCCCCGAGCCCAGAGCCGGCGGCCCCTGGGCTGGGGGGGACGAACCCAGGCCTCGGCTTGCCAGCCGCCCCCGACGCCTCGCAGAGGTGAGCTTCCTCCGCGTTCCGACCGCGGTGGCCGGGGCTGGGTCTCCCCTGGCCGGCCGGCCAGGGGACAGCGCTCCTGGGAGTCGCAACGGGGGTCACAGCCGTGAACGCGCCCAATTGCAGCCAGTGGACAGAGGCCGCCCCGCCTCCGACGCTGCCCTGTGGGTTGAGTCTCATCCAACCGTCTCTGGGAGACAAGCTCCGTTCTCACCTTCATCCCAGGGGCTCAGTGAGGCTGGTGGAGGTGGAGGGCTTGCTGGGTGTTATCGACCAGGCAAGGGGTAGGCGGGGGACTTGCACGCGATCTCCTGACACCATTAACATCAAAAACACCCAACACTGGTTTGGGAAGGGAGGGTGTGCCGCACTGCGGGCGAGCTTGACGTCTACCCGCAACTCCTACCCCCAGTGTTGTCGCTTAGATATACTGGGTGCTCATTAAAGAGCTACAGGATGAACGAGCGAACGCAACACAGGTCTGTTAATTATTAAATGCGTTTTGAGTTTAACTTCAAGATATCTTAAGGCAGCAAACACACACCATACAAAGTAAACGCTAACGTCCGTTGACGTAGAGGCTAAACGTCCACTGTGCCCCAGTGTGCGCTGGGCTCTGGGGCTGAGGTGGCGGGTCAGAGAGCGGGGCTCACTCGCTGGGAGGGCCCACAGCCTGGCTGCCTGGGCTCTCCGTAACCCCTGACCCCAGCCAACCAGATCGTACGAGTTGTTTTGACGTTTCTCCACAGTCACCACGTTTGGCTCCATCGTTCGGCCACCTGGGCAAATGGAGTACAGCATGTGACTATAAGTTGGATAGACTCCGCAGTTAGGCCTCGCTGGGTTAATAGTTGCATTGCTTTGGTTCAAAGATGCAATATCTCTTCTGGCATCGGCCCCCGGCATGGTGCTTGATGCCTCCTGATGCTGTTTCCCCATCACGGCATCTCACACAGATCCGGGGAAGTGACCGCAGAGGGGAAGAGTGGCCAGTGGTTCTGCCCCGCAGCGGGCTGCCCATCCCCCACTTTTAGTCGCAGGAGACTCGTTGGCTCCGACAGCTCCCACGAGGGCAGACGCAGCCCCACAGGGCGCGGGGCACAGCCACACCTTCTGCGACGGCTTCCGGGCCCGTGAGGAAGCTGTGGCCCGTGTTCCGAGCTGGCGCTGGATCTGGAATTAGGCTGACGCCCCGAGGAAAGGCCTGCGGAGGCTCCCGTTCTCTGGGCAGCGGCGAGGATCTGCCCCCGGGGACGGTGGGCTTGGCCTGCCTCGCAGCTGCCTCACCTGCCCGCTGGGTGGCGCGCTGTCGCAGCTCATGGGGGAGGGAGGGAGCTGTTGCCCGGCCCATCTATGGATACGGCCGCCGTTTTTTAGTAAGTAGGCAATACGGTGAGGTTCCTTTGAATAAGCTTCTTTAGAAACCTTGGAACGATCTCTCAGTAGTTACACTTTGTTGGGAGTGAGAGTGAGGGGCAATGAAATTTCAAAGTAGACAGGACCGCATAGAAGTTTTATTAGGAGTTTTATAACTGAACATAAAAACGCACATTTCCTCACACAGGTGTTTCCAAGGTCAAGAACTAAAAATTCTTCCCTCCCGCCCCCCCCCCCCTTCTATCGTGGCTCCAGGTTTTCCCGGCACTGTCTTTGCAGATCCAGGAGACGACACAAAACCCACTCGGTCAACACAGATGGAAGCGCCAGGGCCGCCTTTCCCAGGAGCAGCCCGACATCGGGCGCAGGACGGAACCAGCCAGCTCCGAAGGGCCGGGCCGGAAGCCGCAGGTGCAGGGTCCCGTGGAGCTCGCCTCGCAGCCTTCGGAAGGTCCCTGTCCCTGGAGGAGGTGTGGGTCTCTAATTACTACATTTTGCTGGGGCTCAGCTGTTTCCAGCTCTGTAGAACGTTCAGGAGACAATCTCGTCTGTGTGCTTCTGGCTGCTGTCGAAGACTGTGACGAAATCCTAAAGCGCCGGGGGCCTGGGGCGGTGGACGGGGAGCCCGCGACCCGGGAGCCCACAGACCCTTCCCTTCATCAGGTGGGACAACGCTGAGTCTGTCGCGACCGTGAGCAACTGTTCGGCGCTAAAAACGACCCCAAATACAGGCTGCAAGGAGCAAAACAAAGTAAAACAAAAACTCGAAAGACTTTTTAAAAAGTTTTCTTTGTACTCTTTAAAGCTCTTTCCTCTCATTTTCTTGCCTTTATCCAAATCCACCTTCTTTCCTCTCTCCCATGTGCCCTGCGTGCGGGCCTCTCAAGGCCCTGGCGGTGGGCAGCCGTGCTGCGCTGCAGGTGACACTTGCAGGCCCTTCGGCGACGGGCAGAGCCGATCCATCTGTCCCAACCCCCAGCGCGGAGCAGCGCCGGCCCCCGAGCCTTCCGGTTCTCCAGCAGAGGGCGCTCGACGGCGGGGCTGCGGGGAAAACGCCCAGAGGGAGCCGCACAGGAAGGTCGCGGCTGTCTCCCGGGCACCTGCAGGGCGGGCCAGTCTCGCCAGCCACCTGGCTCCCCTCCCTCTTCGCGGCCTTCGGAAGCTTCGGTCCTGTGCCCTGGGGCGTTTCCTCAGGAAGGGCCTGTCTCCAAGGCCGCTAACCCCTCACCGGCTCGCGCTTTGACACATCCATTCATCCCACACGATCTGCTGCGCTGGGGTTCTGCGCCCAGGCACCAGGCATGTGCAGATGCGTGCGCAGAGTCCCTTTGGCTGGGATGACCTGTCCAGGGCTGCCACGCCTCCGGAGACAGGCGAGAGGAGGACTGAGAGCTGCCCCGAAGAGCTTTCTCTCGTGCTCCATGTCCCACGGGGACGGGTCTGCAAGGCGGCAGATGCGACCACGGCACGCGCTCCCTGCAGTCCACACACACCCTGTTCCCCGGCTTTGCTCTGCCTCCTCTCCTGCGACCACGGTGCACACCCAGGGTCAGCGATGACAAGACAGTGGCCCGGCCCCAGCCGAGGGGTGGCCTTTCCGGCTCCGGAGAGCCATCGCCAGCTCCAGGTTTCCGGCTGTGCCTGAAACGGGCACAGTCCCAGCCCTGGGCCGGCGTCCCCACAAAACAGCCCGGCAGGGGGTCCGTGCCCCCGCCTCCGCTAGGGGCGCCAGCCCCCCTCCCAGACCGACAGGCTGCCCTGTGCACGGTCCTTTCTTTTTGCGTGACCCGCCGCGCTCATTTCCGGCACCTGCCCAGCTTGGTTTGCAGACGAATTCGCGACACGCGTGAGGCTAAAGAAACCTAAAGAAATGCTCGCGGAACGGCTCTTGCGCCTCAGCACAGTGCGCACTCTCCAGGGCGGCGCCGCGCGCCGGGCCACGCAGCAGGGGCCCCTGGTGCGCAAGCAGAGCGCCGCTGTGGCGGTCACGCCCAGGCACGCAAGGGCCCCCCTGCGCACGGCAGGCGGGGCCTGCGAGAGGAAGGAAACGCACAGGGCTGCTCTCTCCTGGGGACAGGGGCCCCGCCGCAGCTGCCAAGGAAGAAAGGCCCTCCCTTCTCCACGGGCCCCTCTCTGCACCGGTCCAGGAGGCGGAGCACTCTGTCGCGAGGGGACACCTGTGTCACCCCCTCCAAACCACAGGGCCAGGCGTGGGGTCCCAAGCGCCTCTCCCGCTGTGTGATAATGCTCTTCTTCCTCACGGCTCGCGGGCCACTCTGGGAGAAACCCGCACGCTGGATGCAGGGGGCGTCTTAAAGGGGTTTTAAAAATGCATCTCCTACAAGCCCACACACAGACCATGTTGCAGCTGGATTACAGCAGCAGCTCTTATCTTTACAAGCCCTTTTGTTTCTCCTGTCATGTGAGAAATTTATATCGGGGTACGCAGTCAGAGGTTTATCGCGAGGAAGGGGATTGTGGAGGACCTCATACGCCGTTAACGTTCAGAAGACACTGTATCCCCGAATATTTCAGACACCAGGACTCACAGACAGAGGCTCCGTACCTTCCGCTCTGCCTCAGGCTCTGCGCCCCTCTCTTCCAGGAGACGGTGGCCCTGGGGGACGCCTGGGGCTGGCACTCGATGACGATGTCTCCCCCAACTTGAATAACTGAATTTCTTTTAACGGGATTTTTGGAGAAATCGGGAGCTGAAGCTGAAAACAAAATGTTCAAAACGAATGTTAAATCGCTGCCGTGACTCACCCGTCGTCGTGCAAGCTGTGACCTGGTGGACTTGGGGACTCGGGTGTCTGTACCAGAGCCCTTTCCCACGCCACCCGGCTCCCGGGGCCCGGGGTTGGTCACCGACTTACGTCTGGGCGCCCCTGCCTCCACTGGCACAGTGCCGATGGCCGCAGATAGGGCCTCGGAAACCTAGCACGGGGCTCAGGGAGCCACGCCTGTGCGGGCTGCAGCGTCCTGCCCAGGGGCACAGAGCGCGCGCTCGGGGGGTGTGACTCATGTACGTCCTGGCACTGGTCGCCGCGGTACTAGGGCGAGTGGGTGAGGGGAGAGCAAGTCAGAGAGTCACGCTCTGCAAAGTGTTTCCCGTGGCGGGAGATGGTGGCCCGTCAGACACAGAAGAGGGAGTTTTAGCCCCGATTAACGCAGCCATGGCATCCGTTCCCGCCGATCGGCCTACGTGTCCGCACCCGCATCTGCCACCTGCGTCTGCGTCCCCCTGTCTCCCACCTCTCTGGCTCTCATCCAAAGCAGTGACCCCACCGGAATGGGTCAGGAGCGCTGTATCACCATCAGCGTTTTCTCAGGCGAGGCTCTAAGTACAAAAATGCAAGTGGTCTCCTTCAGGGCGAGTGGAAATTTAGAACATACTAAGTGTTTCCACTGCGTCACCACTGACTGAAGGACGCACACATACCAGCTCACGGGGACGAGGAATCGTGAGACAGCCCAAGGGCACCCACGTCTTTCCAAGGCCAAGGATGGGGGTGCCCACGTGTCCAAGCCCCAGAGCCAGCCCAGCGACCTGAAGCTCCCAAAAGCTACAGGCTCCAGCCGCTGCTTGCCGCTCCTCCCCCACCCCCGCTGCGCTTTCCTCTGATCTCGGTGCGAGGGCACGTGCTCCCTTTAGGTGCTGTGCACCTCGCCACGAGGCTGGTCACGCCTGCGCAATTCTTGACGACATTCCTAACATTTTACACCTTGGCCTTTTTTCTCGGGGAAGCTGCAGTCCTCTGAAGGAGAAGACCTCTTCTGAACTGATGACCATGTTTGGGGCTCAGGACGCAGTGCCCGTCCGTAAAGACGAGCGGTGAAAACAACGGAGGTGCAAGCCAACGCCGCCCCCTGCGAGAGCTCGCAGAGCGCGGCCTCTCTCTCTGTCCGACCCCTCCCGCGCCTGGCCTCCTCCTCCCCCCACGGGGGCGCCCTGGGGCGAAGCCATCAACGCCACGTCCACTGTCGCCGATGCCGCGGGCGGCCCTCCCAAAAGCCGTTCCCAGACCGCTCCCTCTCAATGTTCTCCACTGCCCGGCTTGCTCTCCCGGCCTCCCTTGGGGGGCCAAGTGGGGAAAAGAGAGTGTGTGAACCCAAGTACTGAATTCAATAAAGTGTGCTCTTTGTTCAAAGTCCTGGTGAACTTGTCTCAAAACTAAATGTAAAGCTACATACGAGTAGAAATCATAGCTAAACTGTGATAATGCCCAAAGGCAATACCATACCCAACCGTAAACATCAACGATGTTCTCAATGAACCTGATGCACAAAGGGTACTGTTACAACCTTGTCTTGTCTGAGTTGGAGCCTAAGGGACAGCCAGCTGCGGGCGCTGCTGTGAAGAGTGACAACTGCCTGTCCAGCGGCATCAAGGGCAGAGGCTTCACCTCGAGGCCTCCCTCGCTCCCGCGGTCCCAGCCGCGCCAGGTGGCGGCGGCGGCGGTCCTCGGCGCCCTGCCTCTCTGCTCATGCAGGTCTCAGATGCCACATTTCTTGTTCTAAGATGCCTGTCCCCACGGCTCTGCCCACCCAGCTCCTTCTCTGCGGCTGACCTCAAGGCACACGCTCTCCTAGCAACTGGCAGTTTCCCGTGGGGCACACTCTAACTTGAGTCACCTAAGTAGCGTCGTGATGACTCAATTATCGCGTGCCCGTCCCTCACGCTGTCCACGGAGCCCCAGGGGCACGGATTACGCTCGTCTTGTTCACCACCGTGGCTCCAGTCTCTGGCACCGTGTCAACACACGATACATGCGTGTTGAACGAAAGCAGGATGACTTCATGAAGCCCCCACCAAGTGCTCACTGCGGTCATTGCCAGGCTTCTGGTCAGTGACCTAAAAGGGGGGATGCGCTGTAAGGACCTGGGGAACTTCTGCTCTTCTGACAAAAGGGATTGATAGGGTCAGTGCCATCGCCTCTATCCTCTCCCCCCGTGAGCACGGGCTTGATTTCAGGAGCTACAGCAGCCTTCCTGGAACCATGAGGCCCCGGGCACGTGGGGACTGTTTAAGGAATCGCATCATCAACTGCGGTGCCACGGCCCAGCCACGTCCGTAAACCCTTCGTTCGAGGGCCAGAGGAATCCCTGTCTGGGAAGCGCTGTAGGCTGAGAGTCCCTCTCCTTAGCTCTTTATTTGCAGCGGCAAACATCCCTGATGCCACTTTCTGAGCTGTGTCCAAACCTCAGCTGCGGCCAGCTCTTGGGGAGCCGCTTCCGGTTTGGTGCGCCCGGTGGCGGGCTCCTCCCGGAGCCCTCATGGGTTTCCCAAGCAGAATAATAATCACCTGCGTTTTTAAAAAGCTAATTGAGACATTTCCCATTATTTCAAGGGAAAGCGATTTCTAATTTACAAAAAAATTGGGTTCAGATTATGTTTAATCATAGCTTGCTAAAATGTCATGTTGAATCTTTCGGTTATAAATGAATGACTTACCTAATACTCTCAATTCTGCATTTGCATAAATTATCTGATATTTGTTTTCGGCAGCACATTGGTAGACACCAGAATCTGACACATTCAGCATAGTTATGATAAGTGTCCCGTTTTCTATTTGAATTCTTTCCTAATCAAAAAAGAAGGCATATAAAGATGCTAGTACGTTAATGTAGGCATTCTCTTAATCAGAGCACATTATGAAACGTCTGTGCAATCTACGCGATACGGTACAAGCTGATGCTTATGAAGATGTGCTGATGCACCGCAAGGCCCCGAGCAGCTTTCTGAGGTTAAAACAATGGAAACACGGTTCGTGTAATTTTAGTGGTCAGGATATTTTACGTTATCTCGTTTCTTTGAAAACTGGCATCGCTCGCGTAGAATGCATGCCAAGTTCCTGTTATGTCGGGTGGGAATAAGGCGGAACGAGCGGCCCCTCCAGTGATTCCAGGAGGCATGGCTGACCGCAGTGTTAGACACAGACATCATAATTAGAAGATTTCCTTGCCTTTCCTTCAGAACCTCTCAGGAAGGCTTGAATGTGACCACTCGACAGCCTTCTAATTTTCTAGCTGAGTCATACGCAGGAGGAGCTCAATTCTCTTTCCTGCAGCCACCGACAAACAGCCAGGGTCAGCTACGGAGCCCCGTCTGGCGCGTAGCATTGCCATTTGGAGTGCATGTTACGAAGTCGTTGAATACTGCAAATACACTTCAAACGAGGTATGTCGGGGTTCCCATCGCCACCCTCTGCAGAGAAGCAGGCTGGCGGACTCAGAGGAGGGGCCGCGCGCAGGCACGCGGGGGAAACGCCGCCGTCACGAAGGCCGCCAGCACCTCCGTTTCTAAACAACAGACGCTCTGTGCGCCTCTGGCGGGGCCACGTGTGCAAAGGAAAATGGGGAGTTGACACAATTATTTGGATAATTGGATGGGAACAGACAGCTCTGCCTCCTTTACTCTGTATTGTAGAAAAGTGTGTTTGGGGGCGGAAATGCGGAGAACCGCCAGAGTCCCCGCTCTCCCGTGCGCGCGCATGCAAGCGAGGCGCTGGGCCTGGGAACAGACAGACTCGGTCGGGAGGGCTGACTCTAACCTCCACCGGCTTCTGCGCGGCCTCAGGCAAGTGGCTAAAATCCTCTAAAACCAATTTCCTTCACCTGTGTACACACACCATCATCACATCTCTCTCATAAAGCTGTCATGAGGACAGCAGAAGGTAGGGCACGGGAGAGGATTTAACACGGCCTGTCTCCCAGGAGAGCAGCCGACGTTCACCATGGTGAGGCCGGCGACGGCGGTGAGGCCTGAATGTAAACCCGTCCCTGGCAGCATGTGACCGGCAAGGTGACCGTCTTCTCGACCCTTTGTTTTCTCAGTGGAAAAATGGAGAATAGGATGAATAGCCACTTGGAGTTCGTGTGAGGATTCAATAAATGGGTACATCGGCAGCGTCTGTTGCGTTCCCTGGCACCCGCTATATGCCTCGCAGCTGTTCGTTGTCACTGTTAGTGACAAAATCTCCCTCTCCCAGTAGGCGAGTTGGTGCCCCCGACACCTGCGCTCACCTGTGGACGGAGGGGCTCGCCGTTCTTTAGCCACGTGTACCAGGGACTCGGCCTCCCGCGGGCTCGGCACTCCCACAGCAAGCTGTCGTGGAGAGACAGGTGTGCGTCCTGGAGCCTTTGTTCCCATTCTGGAGGGGCTGTTTCAAAGAGAGACCGACAGCGGCCGTTTGGCGAGGCAGTGAGTCAAGGTGTCCCGCTCCGCGCCCAGGGCCGCCGCAGCGGCCGGAGGGAAAGGCCGAGCGGCCGAGACGGCCCGGAAATGCCGGGGCCGCGACGGGGGGCAACCGGCATCCCGTAGCAAGGATCAGGGGGCCTTTGGCACAAGACACAGGCTGTCCTTTGTCATTGTACAGCACGTACGTAACAACTTGGGAGTTGCAGGAGAAGGTCTGAGTGCAGATCAAGACCAGATAATAATAATTCCATGCTCAACCTCAGTATACAGGTTAAATTAGGAAAAGTATACCAAGTCGGCACCCTTTGTGGGCAAAGAACATTGCTCATACTTGATCTAAATGAACTAAACGTAAGTGTTACCTTTATCAGACATAATTAGGCTCAGTAGCTTGATGCATAAATACAATATAACCTCACTGCATTTCAGTGAGATGATAATCCATTTTTTCACAACTCCTACAAGGAACGAGAACGTGGGGGGTGTCCTAGTGGTTCACCACCTTAGTCCTGGGCATGCATTTTCCAAAACCTTATTTTCTAACCTGAGACAGTTCTACAGAGCAACGAGGCAAAAAGCAACAGGTGTAACTGATGATAAAGTGCCATTTAGGGGTAAGGAAGTGCTCTCCTCGCTGCCACTCATGGAGACGGGTGGGGAACGGGTGGGCTTTTCTGACGTGGATCTGGTTGCGGTAACATGCCACGGGAATGGGCGGAGGGTCCCGCGCGGCGGGCCCAGGGCAGGCAGGAAGAGCCGCGTTTCAGGGGCTTGCACGGAGCTCTCATCTTAGGCCTAACCAACAGCAGTGAGGTCTACGCCAATGCATCCAAGGTTTCCCGCCGCGAGACCACTGAGAATTGTTTCTGTATTTGTTACTGCGGAAATTACGGGAATCGGTAGTTATGAAAACTTCTTTGTAACCTAATGGTTGATGTATCAATATAGGAGGAAGCACTTTATAATTGATGTCCAATTTATAGATACCTCCATTTTGTGTTTAATCTCTTGGTTATATCTTTGTCTATTTAACAGAAAAACGAGATTAACTATTAAAAACTAGCCAAAGCTAAAAAACTTGGTGCCACTTAAAAATTCCCAGTTATATCACTATTTTATTTACAAAAGATGCTACATTCCAAAGACTTTAAGAAGCAGGATCTACTGAGAAGACTAAATAAATGTATATCTACACATATATATGTATAAATATATATATATTATATATATATATATTTGTTAGCATTGCCACAGCTATAGAGAATATCATGTAGAAAGTATTCTGGGCCATGTATAAATACAGTTTTAAAAATTTCTCTAGTATAGATCTATTGAATTTAACAAAGATCTATTTTAAAAAGCACCTAACATTGTGATAACTCTGGGGTGCATTTTATAGTTTATTTGATGGGGGCACGAAAAAAAAAGTGAGTTCCATGCAAGTGCTGTGTTCCGGCCCGGGCGAGGCGGAAGGATGGCTTTTCGGCACACGTGCCTCTCTCGCCCCTCTGGGTCCAAGAGAGCGCGCCTGGGCGTCGGGGCAAACCTGTGTTTTCAGTGACACAGTGACTCGATGTTGCTGTCTCCTACCCGTGAGCGAACAGACCCTGGGGAGGGGAGGCAGAGACTGAGGACCGCCCCTCCTGCCGCTTGCCCTTCCTCCTGGTTTCGCATACTCTCCCCGGGGTCGCTGTACGAGGAGGGCAGTCACAGGCTACGGCTGACTGTCTGACGGGGCGTGAGCGGACTGCAGTGCGCTTCGGACGGTGAACGCCTACTGCTTTCACACGATGCTGCTGTATGTGCAAGATGACCAGAACCAGCACTAGCGTGCCCAGGCCATGCTGAGATAGCACTGTGACTTAAAAACGGCCATGGCCACCGCTGACCGTTGGTTCGCCCCCCTGCCCCGGAACGTGGCTTCCCCGCCGCTCCCAGGACAGGCTCCGACGCGTGCCAGGGGACCTCCCGCGCCCTCGGCACTGCCCCCGCTCACCGTAGAACACGAGCCGGCCCTTCGCCCGGTTCCTTCCACGCAGGTTGCCCGCCGTGCACTCGTAGAAGCCTTCATCTTCCTGTTGAAAGTTCGGGATTTCAAGGGTAGCCTGGGATTTGCTGTACTTGACTTTCCCTGGCAACGGGCTTCCGTCCAACCTCCTCCAACTAATGCCGGGGACTGGACTGAACAGGTACACCTCATTAGAACACAAGCCGGTTCAGTCTTGACACAGCAGGTAACAGGAGAGTGTCCTTAAAAACAACTCCCAAGGAAAAAATCCAATTAATCGGTCGCATGGAGGCTGGTTTCGGTCACACAGTTACCCCCCACGCCGACGCCCAGCGCCTATGACACCCTCCCTAAGGGCCGCCGCGGCCAGGGAACGGATCGGCGGCCGAGCCGGGCGTGCTCTCCGCCCTCACGGTGCTGGCACGCTGGTGGAGTAACATGCGGCGAACAAATAATAGGAAACGGCTGTATTTGTAAATTTCCATAAGGGGGACAATTCCTGAGGCTGCAGAGAGAGTCACAGCAGACTAACTCAAACACAGTGTTCGGGAAAGTCTTTAGCGGACGGGGCAGTCTAGAGGAGGCAAGCTCTCTCCGTATTTGCAGATTCTGAGGGAAAAATGCGGACTCTGGTGAAGCTAAACCAGTGCCAGCGGACAATGTCAGACAGGCAGCGGGCGAGCGAGGTTAGCGGGGGCGGGGGGCCAGTATAATAAAGGCTCCCCGTGCATTGGGGGCGCAGGCTCTGTACCCTCAAAAACGTGCCTGGGACCCCATTTAAACAAAAGGAGAACAGTAACGTGAGAGATGACTGCACACCGTACCCTGTCTCCTGTTAGAATTTATGAAGAGTTCCTTTGTTTCTACGAATTTAACTTAATAGCATGTATCTAATATCATGAGTCTAATAGGAATACATTTTTAATATGTAAACTTAATGTCTAACAAGAAAGAATGGCTTTAGAAATCTGTGGAGTAGGAGGCCTCTCTTTTACAGGTATAACGTAAAGAAATGCCGGCTAGAAATAAAATTACAACAGGACACTATTCCCCACCAAACCAGACACTTACGAAGCCGGTCCCCGCCCCGTTTACATCGACCTCTTCCCTTCCCGCCCGGCCCGCCGCCCTTCATTCCCTCGGCGACTGTCAAGGACTAAATATGTATGTTCTGAATCTATTTTCAATTCATAGTGATAATAGAATGACTTTTGCTGAGCCAAATCGCCAACTTTGTAGAAGCAGCGGCTTCCTTCAAGTCAGCAAAAGCAACGGGGGAGACCTGTCTACCCGCGTGCAGACGAGAAGGGGCTGATGCGACTCTGCGGTGTTCGCGCCATGGAACTGTCCCCAGGGGATGCGGGGATGATCCGGGAGAGGCTTCAAAGAAAACACGGAGACGGATAAAGCCCCAGGACTGTCTGATCGGCCAAGGAGAGCGATCCTTCCGTGCAAATCACAGATGCTGTCAGCGTGGACAACCACGCGTGCGCCCACGCCTGCGCCCACGCCTGCGCCCACGCCTGCGCCTCAGGGAACACGGCCCTCAATCACTGTTCGATTTCATCTCTTTGTGTCCAAATTACCAGAGAGCTACAAATACACCTTGAATTTCAACACAAAATAGAATCATTATCATCCTAAAGTTAGTTTCTGTCCTTTTAAAAAGCCCTGACACCACCCAATGAGGCTGACATTTCGGCGAGAGGGCACCTTCCCGCCCACCGTTAACCTCAGGTAACTGGTTTCCTGTCCGGGCGCTTCACAGGCCGCCAAACCAGCCCAAGCGAAACGAAGTCCCAGAGGAGAACGCATTTACATAGAAGGATCATCGCCAGGTCTCCCGCATTCTGTAGCGTGTGCAGAACTACCCAGTTTTTAGAAATACATGTCATGCATCTGTGAACATATGAAAAGTTATTACCTCTGGGTTGGGAGGATGCGAATGTCTTTTTTTTTCCCATTTTCTATTTTTCTCGATTTTCCATTATTTCCCTACAATGAGCACATATTACCCATGTAATGAAAAATTCTAAGAAAATGTATTTACCAAGAGAAAAGTAGAGGCTCTGACACTTGTCTGAATGAGCGACCTTTCATCTTCTTACGACAGTGTATCTCTGAGGTTTGAGGTTTATGGCAGAGACATGCAATGTATTGAAGTGGAAAAGCTTTTAATCTCAAGCAATCAGACAGAAAATAATTTCAGTAAAGAGTATTCTTCCCGTACTTATATAATTGTTCTTTATTTTGATTGTGAAGACCTAGGTCAACTTTTAACATAGCTGTCTAAATCTCTGAGCCCGTAACAGGCGCGTTTGATATTTACTAATAGCGGCGCTAAGGGTATCGCAATGGAAAGCCACTATTTCCACGCCCGCACAGTGCCAGGCTGCACACCTGGGGATGACGTGTCCCCAGTCTCGTTGGCTCTCCCTGCCACTGAAGAGGGCCGAGCTGGGCTCTGTGTCGGCTCCTCTGCCTCCCAGACGGACCCCACAGCCCCTGCAAGCCACCTCCCCCAACAGCTTTGCCGTCTGTGGATCTACGGAAGGCGAGTCTCCATCTTCAGGGACCCACTTAAGTGGGGGGAAGAAGAACAAGTCCCACCTACCTCAACTATTCGGATGCCCCCGGCCCCAGTAAAGGAACTCAGGGAAGCCATGGAAGCCTCTCTGGACGCACCCCAGCCCCCCGGGGATGAGGAGGCCCATCGGCTCCAGGTGCCCCCCTGCCGTAAGCCATCCCACCTGCAGAAACCTGCCATTCGGGGGCCCGCTGCCCTGCCAGTGACAACTTCTCCCCACCTCCTGGTGGTGGTGTTTTTTTTTAATCTTCACAAATAAGATGTAGAAATCGATCTTGGATACAAACATCAAGACAGAGAACAATCTGGGGCAAGTCCCTCGTCCGCAGGTTCCTGCGCGGAGGTGAGGCCCTCAGGAGCCCCGGAGTCCAAGGCAGCGCGGCCAGAGCCTGGCCTGATGGCCTTCCCATTTTCTAAACCAGGGCTGCCTGCCCTGGGGCTCCTCGCCGTTGTGAAAGGCACCCAGAGAACGAAAGCCGAGCTGCTGCCCCCTCCCCCCATCCCTGCCCCCTCCCCCGGCCCTCGGTTCCACGCTTCTCCCGAGCGAGCGTCTCCCTCAACAGGGACGGGCCCACACTCTCTCATCACTACTGTGTCCTCAGCGAGCAGCCTATTAATTGCAGCAAAGAGAGAGAGACATTTTTTAACCATCTGGCTTAGCTCACCCTTAATTGGAAGTTAAATTAAAGCCCTCCACACACTAGTAGGAATTGTGTTTCAATTCCATACTTTCAACCCATAAATAGAATTTTCATTGCTCGTACCATTTGAGAAGGCGTCTATTTCTCGCCTGGATTTGTGAAACCTCATTATCTACAGCTTAAATCCAGCCCATACCAAGTTTGTAGCCAGGAACTGGGAGAGAGAACCTGTTTTCTAAGATGCTCACATTGGGATTATTCTGAACTTGAACCTCGTTTCCAAAAATCCTATCAGTGGCCGATTGTTATCGGAGAGACTGGAGCCGAGTAAGAAAACCAGCCAAGAGCCTTTGTTAGAACGTCAGGCTGCTTGGCCAGCTTCTTGCATTTCCCAGCTGGAAATGTCCGTACAAAGAGCCTCCCGTGGAAGGTGGTCCTCGGGGGACACAGCGGGCAGAGGCAAGTCCTGCAGGAAAGCCACCTCGGCGCCCTGGAAGGAGGCACGCGCCTCGCCGGGGCCGTGCCGGCCACAGCCTGGGGGCCAGGTGGCGTCCACGCGTGTCTGCCTCGGGGGAAGGCTCGTGGTCGGCGGAAATCCGTCCGCTGGCCAGACCCCGCCACGCAGTCCGCGGAAAAGCCGCCATGACTTGCTTGTGGTACCAGCGGCGCGTGCACACAGGGTAAAACCAAACAGGCAGCTTGTGCGTGGCAGAACGCAGGTACCCAACCCCCGGAGCTTCGGCTTTCTCCCAGCCTTTCCCTGGAGGGGGCGGGGGCGTGCCCACGGCTCCCTGAGAGGCTCAGATGAGGATGTGAAGTGTGAACCAAAAATGAGGCTCGCTAGACTGCTTCTTACCAGGATTCTCAAATGGGGACGGGGGATCCTGTTATCCAAAGATGCCCTCAGAATTTCATTGCCATTTTCTACTCCTCTAGACGGCAGTCAGGTAAGTGCTCACTCACATGCGAGCCACTGTCTCCAGCCCAGCAGGGCTGCCCAGGGCCGGTGTTGTGGAGCCGCTACCTAACAGCCTGTCCGCCATCTCTCTTTCCCTCTCTTCAAGGCATGGCAGGGCAGACTGTCAAATGACGTTTACTTCAGGAAGAGGGGTTGTGTTTGAGAAAACGCCACGTCCAGTGTTGATACGGCAGCAAGCGCCGGCAGCTCGTGACGAGCTACCCCGAACGTCTGCACGCGTGTCGAGGGGCCGCACCTGGGGGGAGTCCAGTGAGGCCCGGGACCCCGCCCGTGGGACCCCGGCCCGCAGGCTGTCTCTCAGCCCGGCCCGGACCCCTTCCCGCTCAGTGCCCCGCCCGAGCTCCCTGCGCTCTCTGGGTTTCCTCAGCTCTGTGATGGTACTACTATTACTCATACTAATAATGACCCCTATAATGATAATAATAATAGTGACTTCGTATGGTTGTTGGGCACGAAATAAGTGCTCAGTACAATCCCCCCCCGCTCCTGCCTGCCCTCTGGGCCATTTCTCCTGCTCACTCCTCAGCTGGTGTCCCCAGAAGCAAGTTGGAGTCTGGGGGCCACGGTTCAGCCCCACCTGGGATTCTACTGCCACTCTATACACAATACTAACCATAAACCAATCCCTCTCCAACCCCGCGAGTGCTGTGCTGCTCCGTAGGAGAGAAACGCGGCCATGCGGTCCAGGCAGGCGAGGGTCTGCAGGTGTGCGCATCGACAGGCGCGGCCTCGGCGACGCTGCAGCCACAGGTGCATGCGCGCAGGCCGAGAGGGAGTGCAGACCGCGATGTGCAGCATTTAACCGTCCTATTTTGAGTGTGTCCAACGCTTCCCTGAGCGCGCAGTGTGTCAGGCCCTGTGCTCGGTGCGTCCCTGGGACCCCGTGAGGCTGTGAGACGCGGGTCTGTCGTTGTTCACGCGTGGGGACGGGGAGAGTTCGGGGCGCAAGCCCAGCATCACGCAGAA